TCCGCACACCTGAAGGTACTGGCAGAGGGACAAGGCCACGCGGGTTCCGGGGCCGAGACCTCCAAGCCTACTCGAATGCCGCGCGACATCTTATTATCTCATTCCTACTTTGGACAAACTTGCAGGCTGTCGAATGTAGCCTGCCCACAGGGCAGAGTCTGGCAAACTCCCCGTGGCCTACCAAATATGCCAAATACCAGTAACAATGATGGGTCTCATTCTTCTAAAGAGCCCGGAATATAATCTCAGGGCTAGGATGAAAGAGACGTTACTGGGGCCTGCTCGAGGCAATCGACGATTAACAGGATGATGAAATGAAAAAATGAAATGAAAATTGGTGATGCACAGGGGTTATTCTCGGTGATGCACAGGGGTTATTCCTGGCTCTGCACTCAGGAATTACCCCTGGCAGTGCTCAGGGGACCATATGGGATGCTGGGAATCGAACGCGGGTCAGCCGCGTGCAAGGCAAATGCCCTACCCGCTGTGCTATTGCTCCAGCCCCTGGTGTGTATATCTTTGTTTGCCAAATAATCAATAGCTTTGGGACTTTCAAATGGCAAATATTCATGGCATGTAAAAAAGCATGATGCACAAACATATGATCTTAATAACATAATTAGTTGTGTAGGTAAACAAGACCTAAAAGAACATGTAAGACTTAACTGCATGTAATTGTGTATGACTGTTCTTTGCTTCGTTTTTCCATTTCCTATTCACGTTAACTTCCAAAAGATAAATATTTTTAAAATCTGAAAAAAATGAAAATATTGCACTATCCTCATCAATCACCAGTCATTTCATCAAAACAAGGTATTGGGGTCACCCCACAGGAAATGACTTCAGGACAGGAGTGATAGTGTTTTTTTAAGACATCTCATAAACCAGACTTTGAATGGTATTAGCCTCCGTATTTGACAACCAAGCCTTGGTTTCTTCACTTTCTGAAAGGCACACTCCGGTGGGAGCCTAGGGGCAACATCTGTGGGGTGGGCTCCTCAGCCACGACCCCAACACGGACTCTCCCCCAACCCAGCCCATTCTGTGAAGCCGAGTGTGTGTGGTCTTCACGGCTGCGCTAGTGGCTGTCCTGTGGTTCAGATCCCAGAGTGATTTACCGTGGTCAGTATTCCACTGCACAGCTCCCCACAGGCATGAGGGAGGCAGAGGATAGGTGAGCGGTGTCTGCTGCCCAGCCAGAGTGAAGGGAAGAAGTCATGCCTCTCTGTGAACCTAGATGCAGAATGTGAGAGTATCTGGGAATGTCACATGGCACTAGGCCTGGAGCAGAAGACACCTTCCTCCCCATCACCTGCCCGACAGATGGCTGCACCAACGCCAGATGCCCTTTCCTGACTCTAGTGAGCACCACCTCTGGACCTCTTCCGACTTCCACACCAACACGTTGCTTCTGTTGAGAGGCATCGTTGAACTGTATTTCAGGGCCTGATGACCCGCTGTGCTGGTACCTGGGTGACTCCTTGGTCCTCCTTTAGTCAGGGCTGCTCACTCAGGAAGTAGGAGATGAACAACCCACGTGACCCTCCCCAACCCACAGTCCACACTTAAACCATCAAGATCTTTCTTTCTTTCTTTCTTTCTTTCTTTCTTTCTTTCTTTCTTTCTTTTTTACAGCAAAACAAAATGGTTCTTTGCTAAACTTCCATGTCAAGGAAAGGTAGAATTATTAAATAATGTGGAATTTGGGAACGGTGTGATAATACCACAGGTAGGGGGTTTTGCTTTGTACGCTGCTGATCTGGGTTTGATCTCAGGGACCACAGGTGGTCTCCCAAATCTTGCCAGGAATGATCTCTGGCACAGAGCCAGGAGTGATCCCTGCATGGCAATGGGTGTGGACTCAAGGCAGAACAAGAAACTGTGAGTTTCTGGACCTTGAAGATATTCAAAGATTTGAGTACTGAGCCTGGAGAAGCAGGAGTAGCTCCTTCACTTTAAGGTATGATCTAAAACCAAAGAAGAGAGAAAAGGGAGAAAGAACACAGGTTTCCTCTAGGTCTGAGCTCAGGAAAAGTCAGTGCAGGGCACGTGTGTTCACAGCACTGTCACACTGACTCTAAGGACTCAGAAGTGCTTTGGGTTCTGGGGGCGCAGCCTCCTGCAGCCGTCGCTGGGGTCCTCTAGCCCACTCCAGGGGCAGGCACACCCAGTGGTGGACAGACAGCAACAGGGCCATGGGAATGCCAGTCTGAAAGGTGGGGGCTGGGCAAGTGAGCAGTGACATGAAAGGTAGGAGTATGAAAGTCAACTCACATGGCCAGCATGTGCAGACTGACGTAGTGAGGGTGGCAGAGGCAGGTGGGCAGGGTAGGGAGATGGCGGTGTTACCCAGAGACTGTTTCTGCTGTCAGCGCTGGCCCACACCTTGCTGACACCCCACTGAGACAAAGGCCATTCCATGTTCACTTTTATTCAGACTCAGAAACACAGGCATCATAGTTTGTCATCACTGTCAATTCTTTCAAAGTTACACACTGACATTTGTGTATAACAAACACGTGTATATGTGCTGTGAATTGTGCAAAGTACAAATAGTTGCCCAGCCACTCCCCAAGAGTGGAAAACTGAAGCCGGCAGTCCCTTGGCTAGTTTTCCATCCAACCTGTGCCTGAGGCCATCCTCGTCATCTGTGTCCACTGACTTCCCTCAGGGTAGAAGTGGGCTTTACCAGGTTCTTCAAAGTCACCTCAGCCACCAAATGCCACTGTGCAACCAAGACATTCAAGTCACTGGGCCAGTGTAGACTATAGGGTTTTAGTCATGGTGTTTCATCTCAGTAGCCAAAATGATTTTATCCTCTGAGGAAAGAGAACCTGACAGGGTCTAATTCTGCTCCTGCTTGTTGATGGGTCAAATGGTCACAAGGGCTGGTGGGTCTATGTCTGAAAAACCTCAGTGATGAGCTCATGCTGGTCAGTATCTGCCCTCTCTCTCAGGGGTCTGAAACTTGTGGGGCCCATGGCATCTCCATGTATCAAGAAAATAGCACTGACACTGGGAAAGCGTTAGGTTGCTCTGGTGAGTCACAACCTGTGTGCCACACTCTCTGCTAGGTGTGGGAGGGGCTTCGTCAGCCCTGCTGTCAGCCTCACCCACCTCACCAGAGTGGTCAGTAATTCCTAGTTACCCAGGGTTCTGTTGAGCATGTTGTAAGAGACAAGTAGATTTAATTCTATACTGTTGCCTGGTAACTGCTTTAATTTGGGGAAAAAATATTTTCCTTATTCTCTGAGAAATTACATTTAGTTCTGGTTTGTAGAACAATTCTCACTCAGTCTATTAATGTTTGCAGGGTCTTGGTGATGACGTGGTTTTAAAGGCACACAAATCTGTGCATGGTAGGCAACTAATTTGGTGACCCATGGCAGTAGAAATCTGCTAGGATTCTTTTTATTAGATTTTGGGAAAAATCCTTAAATATGTTAAATATATTATCTTCTAGAGAGGAAAGGAGTCGTTCTTTAAATACCATCCTGCCACTGTGCTGTTCCAAGGTAGCAGCAAACAGCCAAGCCACATTCCGAAGGGGAACTGCGCAGTGGGCTAGGAGCTGTCACGCCAGCAGAGGGCAGGACCGGCTCGGCTTCCTGGCGTTCTAACAACCAGGCAGGCCTATGTTGCCAGAGGAGTTTATTCTGCCAAACTGGACTCCGGAGAAATTTGAAGCGGGATTCTGATCTGAGCTGGGTCAGCGTGTTTTCCTGAGGCTGTGCTCCCTGACAGGCTCCGGGGCACTTGGTGTGGGGCTCAGGAGGTTTTGGGGGTCTCACCCTAAGAAGATACCATTTCCCAGAGCTGTATGCCCTTTGTCACATGCCCTTCCCTGCTAGCCCTGCCTCCTGGCCCCGTTCTCTCTGGAACTTCTGCCTCCTAACTAAGTTCCCACTGCCTGCCCGGTGGGTGGATATTTATTAAAAACAAAAAGCCTTCACAGGTAGTAAATCCCAGTGGCTAGGACTGTACTTTTCCAGAGAAAAGTTTTATTTTGAAAATGATAATTTGGTAATGATGATGTTGTAATTCCCTCTAACGAAAAGCACAGGACAGTCCCCTGCCTGAATGGGCTCCACATCCATGTGCTTTTCTTACTGCTCCAAAACAGGCAGTTCTAGTGGCCTTTCCTCGAAATGCTCCAGTCCTGAATAATAGTTACCTCTGTCTAGACAGAATCAGGGCAAGTCAGGTTTACAGGAAGCGGCCTTTTCTAAGCGCCCCGACCCTGGGGTGTCTCCCTGTCGTCTGCTGAGTGCTGGTGGGAGCTCTCTAGATGCATCACGGCAAGTACAGAAGTCTACCTGCTAATGTCTCTTCAGTTTTTGTTTCAAATTCAACCAAATCATTACTGATTTTACAAAAAGGCAGCACCAGATGTATGAAAAATAGGCAATGTAGGTGCTATTAGGAATATATAAAGTCTACAGCTTTGCATTAAAAAGATGCTGTAAGAAAGAAGCCATGTGAAGAGAGAGTGGCAGGAGTGGTGCTGAGGAGTCTGAGAGGAAGCCATGCCCAGTAGCTTTGCTCAGGCCCGACAGTGTGCTGCTGGCCCAGACTTGGGGTCTGCAAAAACCCTTTGCCAGGGACACTCTTACAGAGAATCTAGGTAGTAGGTGACTGAGGTATATAGAGGCGATGGGGCATAAGGGAACCTCAGGCAAGCACAGGTCATTGCTTGAACACTGTGGCCCTGCCCCTGCCCAAGCCATGCCCCTGCAGGGCTGCCAGCAGGCTGGGCATAGCAGGTCCTGGCAGATTCTAGTGGAATGAGCCTCTTCCCCTCCAAGGATGTATCTTTAGTTGGTGTGGAGGGAGACATGTTGCTGGAGAGCACCCTGGAGCAGCTCTTGATTGGCTTTGAGTCAAAGGCACAGCTGCCTCCATACCCTGGAGCTCCTTCCCATCTGGATGTGCCCTGTCCCTGCACTTGGAGACTCTTGAAGAGTTCTGGGCATGGCTGTGGTGAACTCAGAACTTGGGCATCAGAAGCTCTCCACGAAGCTTCCCGGGAAGAGGCCTGTGCGGCCAGTCCGCTGCAGGGTCCCCTTGTACCAGCCGTCCTCTCTCTTCTTGTGCACAAAGACTATATCCCCTTCCTTCAGCTCAATTTCTGCCTCGCTCTGGGGTGGGTAGGAGACCACCACGCGGTACCTGCAGGGAAACAGAAAAGTGAGCCCACTCGCACACCAGCCTGCGGCCACAGTCAGCCTCCTCCCTGGGGTGGACTGCCATGGAGGTGGGGCTGCCTCTTTGCCCTCAGCCTCATCTTGGCTGCAAGGACCTGGGCCTATGGTCCTCTGCTCCAGAAGTGCTACAAGAAGAGTGTCCAGCAGCCCTCAGGTGACTGGCTTCTGCTGTGTGAGTTTGCTGGCAGAAAGGTCTCTCATTTTCCCTATCAAAAGCTGGGGAGAAGAAATGAACAGAAGCTTCCTCAAAGAAGAAACACAAATGGCCAAAGGCACATAAAAAACACTCTACATCACTAATCATTGGGGAGATGCAGATCAGAACAACAGTGAGATCGCATCTCATACCACAGAGATTGGCACACACCAAAAAGAACAAGAACAACCAGTGCTGGCGCAGATGCAGGGAGAAAGGGATTCTCTTTGTTGGTGGGAATGCTGACTAGTCCAGCCCTTTTGGAAAACAATACAGTCATTCCCCCAAAAACTATAAATTGAGCTTCCATATGACCCAACAGTACCAAGTCCAAAAATATACTACTGGGGTGCAAAATCACAACAGAAATGCTATCTTCTTTATTCATTGCAGCACTATTCTAAACAGCCAGAATCTGGAAACAACCTGAGTGCCCGAGAACAGATGGCTGGTTAAAGAAACTATGGTACATCTACACAAAGGAATACTATGCAGCTGTTGTAAAATTAAGTCATGAAATTCGTTTATAAATGGATGGACATGGAGAATATCATGCTGAGTAAAAAGAGAAATAAGAAGAGGGACAGACAGAATGATTGCACTCATATATAAAGAAACATAGTATGAGACCAGTACCCAAAGATGATAGAAATGTAGGCAAGGAGGATTGGTCCATAGTTGGAAGCCTGCCCTCAGGTTCTGGGGAAGAAGGCAGTTGGGATTGAGAAGAAACCACCATGACAAAGATAGCTGGAAATGATCACCATAACAAAGATAGTTGGAAATGATCACTCTGGATAAGAACTGCATGCTGAAAGTAACTAACAAACCTTTCAGTATCTGTATTGCAAACCATAATGTCCAAAAGGGGAATGGGGGAGAGAGATAGAGAGAGAGAGGGAGAGAGAGAGCAGAGACAGCAGAGAGAGCAGAGAGAAGGAGAGTGTCTGCCATGGCATCAGGCTGAGGGTGGAAGGTGGCAGGAGACAAACAGGGAAAATTGGTGTGGGAATGTACACTGGTGGAGGGTTGGGTGTTGGAGCACTGTATGACTGAAACCTAATCACAAATAGCTTTGTAACTGAGTATCTCACAGTAATTCAATTAAAAATTAGAAAATATATTTAGAATAAACATAATCAATAAACCAGCACCAAAGGCAGATGTGTGCATGCCCTTGGCTAGTTATGTGCTCAGAGCCCCCTCATCTCACAGGAGAGCTCCCCAGCCTACAGCTCCACCTTGCTCCCTCCTGAGGCCCTTGGGATGCTCCGGGACGTGATTCCCGGTCTCTACCTGGGCCTGGTACCCTTAACCGTCACTGACTGTGGGTCAGGCCTGCACAAGGATGGAAAGGACAGCCCCTAGCAGGCTTCAGAGCAAACCTACTCCTGACTGGGGCAGATAGGAGGGTGGCCCGAGGGGCTGCACTCACCCCCAAACCTCCCACTGGAAGATACTCTGAGTCTAGAGGCTAAGAGCACTGGGTAGGTCGAACTGGCCAGCCTGATGGTCATGCCCTGCTCTCTCCTGGGGTCCCTGGGGCTCTGCTTCACCCTCTGCTCTGTGACTATACCAGTGACATCATGCAGAAGATGATGGTTCTGTTCCTCCAACCTAAACCCAGGCTGAGCCACGCAGGCCTGTCCTCTTCTAGCTACCCCCAGCCCCTCCCGTGCCCTCTACCCACAGGCCTGCTAGGGACATGGGTCAGTGGGAGGGAGCCACCAGCAGAGGCGCTGTGCAGGATAGGGAAGTCGGTCCATCTCTGGGAAGCAGAGGTGGCCCAGCTGGTGAGTGCTGCTCCGGGGCCAGGCACTGGCCCTGCAGGGTGAAGCAGGGTGTGGCTGGGGTTCATCAGACCAAAGCTGCTCTCTCAGCTCCAGCAGAGAGAGTTCTGGGCCCACTTCTGAGACCCCTGGCTCAGAAACCACATGAGGATCTTGCTTCAGTCAGGCTGATGCCCTTTTGCCAGCAACAGGATGACCAGAGCTGCAGGGCATGTCCGATCCAGGGGAGAGAGGGCAGCCTGTGGTGTGGCCATCAATCCCACTGCCCAGCAGCTGGCCGTCTGCTCCCACACCTGCCTGGCCAGGGGTCGGGTTCTTCTCCTGCAGTCCCCAGTGGGACAGCCATGCTGGAGCTTGCAGATGGGCACCCGCCCGGTGATGTCTTTACTCGGGGCCTCCTTCTCTCCTGAAGAGGCTGCAGGTGCCTGGCAGAGAAGAAGCATGCTAGTACCTTACCCAGACTAGTGGGACGATCGAGGGGTGCCCCCTTCGACCTGGCAACGTGGGCACTATAGTCCTGGCCCGAGGTGCATGAGCTACCCCTGTTCCCTGCTCTTCCCAAGGTGCTAGGAGGTCTGGGCCGTGCTTCCTGTCAATCACATGACCTTAAAGTTGTCTCGCAGGTACCCTGCAGCTACATCCCCAGGCCAAACGTGCACCCCTGACTTCGTGTACTTTGGTCTTGAAGAAATAAGGTTATGGGGCCAAGCAGAGCGTGTAGGGACAGAGCATTGCCTGCATAACACCTGTCTTGACTAAATCTTGGCACCTTGTCTGGTCTCTGAGCTTTTCCCCCAAGTACGACCAGGCATGGCCCAAAAGCCAAAACAAAACAAACAAGGCTCCCTCCCCACCCTCTCCAAATAGAAATAGGCTATTGACAAACAAAAGTGAATTCCAAGTTAACATGTTTCAAAACGTGACCCCAGAATTCAGGACCCCTTGTTTGATCCTCAGCCTCCCTTCCAAGTTAGATACTGAACCTACTGATGATGAAACCATGGGGATTGGGTAGAGAACTATGAATTTTCAATAATTTCTAGGAACAAATATTCCTGTACAGATGTAGAGAATTGGTGGTAGAGTGAAAACAAAAGAATGACTGTCCTTCCAACCTCCCTGCTCATAGTGTCCAGTTCGGGACTTGGTGTCATGACAGGCATGTGGAAGGTACAGTTCTGCTGTGGGGAGTTCATAGTCTCTCTTTCTCAGGCAGCGGAAGGCAGATTCAAAGGGAGGAAGCTCCAGGACTACGTCATCAGCAATCAGGGTCTGTTCCTGTGTGGAGCAAGGCCCAAAGGTCTCTATGAGCCTCAGAAAACAACAAGGATGGAGTTCAGATAGATTTCACTGTTGCCTCTAGCATCAGACGCTGCCCAGGAGGACACAGCTCAGTTGCACTCAGCAACATCCGACAGTTCAGGACACAGTTAGGCTGCACTCAACTACATCCATAGTCTTACGCAGACTGCATATACTGTGGTCCCGTGAAACTGGGGTGCTGGGCCTCTGAGGCCAGGAATGCCACCTGAGCCTTCTCTGCCTCCCTTCAGATGTGCCTGCTTTGCTTCCCCTGCAGGGAAACAGCTTAGCTCAGGATTTCGTAGACTATGAACACAAGTCTTGGCTCTTTCTCCAACTATAGACATAAGGCAGATAGTGGGTATGAAAATATAATCTGTTAAGAAAAAAGTAATTTCTAAACAATCAGAGATTTTATGAGCCCACATGGATACTTGGTGATATTGAGCAAGAGATAAGCATTCAGCACTTCTGTCGTGTGTGTGTGTGTGTGTGTGTGTGTGTAAAAGTGAGAGTGAGAGAGACACAGAGAGACAAAAAATGTGTTGTGTGTGGTGTGGTTATCTGAGTGGTGTGTAGAATGTGTGTAATATCTGTGGTTCATACATATTGTGCTGTGTGTGCTGTGTTTGTATGTGTACTGCATGAGTGTTGTGTTGTATTTTTTTTTCTTTTGGGACACTTATAGGCAGTGGTTGGAGGTAATTCTAGCATAGTGCTTGGCACATCTGTGCATGTGTGGTTCTGAGGATTAACCCTGGACCTCTGCATAGGAATCATGCAGGCACTCCAGCCCTTTGAGCCAGCTTCCCACCCTGTGTTTGGGTCTTGCATGTGTGTGTGTGATATCTGAGTTATGAGTGTCCATGTCCGTATGGTGTGTGTGGTGGTGTGTGTGTCTGTGGAATATGTATGTGCACGTGCATTGTACGATACATGTGGTTTGAAGCCAGTCTAAAGGTTTTGTTGCTCTTTGGCAGGATTCATTCATTCATCATCCTGTTAATCGTCGATTGCCTCGAGCAGGCCCCAGTAACATCTCTTTCATCCTAGCCCTGAGATTATATTCAAGGCTTTTTAGGAGAATGAGACCCATCATTGTTACTGGTATTTGGCATATTTGGTGCGCACGGGGAGTTTGCCAGACTCTGGCAGGATATGCCAGATATAGAACAGCAAGTGGTGGCTGCCAGACTCAGGAGGAGAGAGGGAAGCATCACAGGGAGATGAATATCAAAGGTATCTTTGATTTTTGCAGATTAGGACACTACAGAGATGGTTGCTGACAATGAAGCCACAAAATGAAGCGATTCTGAGTCCAGATTCAACCCTGCCTCCAATCTGTGCAGCTACGTAAACTACCCAGTACTCAGTCTCCTCCTATATTGCACTTACACACCAGAGGTTCATAGGATGATCAGTGAAATGAGGCATTTAGCGTTGGAGAACTGTCAGCAGAAATTGAACTGCAGCAAATCTCTGAATTTTTAGGGCCAGAGCCTAGAACCGATTGTTGCATGTTCTGAAATCACCATGCACAGACATTTAATAAAGGCTATTATTCTCAAGGAAGCTATAAATATGGTTTAAATTTTGATTTTGTCAGAAGCTAATACCTGCAGACCATGTGGTCCCTCCCCTTTTCTTGACATGGATTTGTTTAGAGCAGGAGTTGATAGGCTGTGGCCCACAGGCTAATATATGTGTTCTGAGATGGTGAGATTTTTAAATAGTTGAAAAAGAAACCCAAAGAGGAAAAATATTTTACGACACAAGAAAATGGTATGCAATCCAATTGTAGGAGTTCTTACCGACAGCCCCGGTGAATCACAGCCCTGTGCAGCCCTGCCTGGCACTCCTCGCCTCGAGGGCAGAGCTGAGTAGCCACAGTTGCACTCTTGGGACAGGGCCTCTGCAGTGTTAACATCTGACCTGAGCGGAGATGCTACTTGCCAACCACTGGACTCTCCTTAGACCCCATCAAGCTGGTGTTGGCTTTAGCAGATGTGTGGAACTACATGGATTCCTACACATGATGGACAAGAGTGCAGATAGAAGGAATTTCAGGGCTGTTTTTTGTTTTTTTCTGAGAATATTCCCTTGTCATAGTTTAAGCAGTGATGATTCTGAGAAGGAAGCACCTCTTTGCTGCTAATTATCCACATCCCTTCCCGCAGAGTGCTGTCAAGTCTTCATTGAGTCTTCAAAGGCTCAGTAACTCAGAAGGGCCCACCCACGGGAAGTGTCCACCTCTGATACAGGCAAAGTCAGGGTCTCAATGGGCGTGTCTGGGAAATGCTTTGCTCAACTAGGAAATTGATTATTTGGACTTTAAAAAACAACTAAGGCCCAGATACCAGCAATTTCACATGGCTTCCTCCAACAGCTTGATTATACACCCTTTAAGCCAGTTTTAGGATAACACGAAAAATTCTAAATTATCAGGAAGGCCTGAGTAAAGTTGATGGCTTGGCCAGGCAATAGGACATTGGGACTCTGGGAAGGGGTGCAGGTGTCTGGGACTGGATCCACTCCAGGACACAGGCAAATATATCCTGTCATTTCACATTGCCTCAGTTCTGACACATATGCAAACCCAAAACTCAGCACCTCAACATATTCATAATATGAAATGTGCTGCCCTTTATCCTCAAACTCATGTTATCCTACATTGGGAAGTGACGAGTGGCGTTCTCCAAGAATCTCCCTGTCCCCACTCCCCAGAAGTGTCTCCGACCTCAGAAGTGAACCCACGAGCCAGTTTCCTCCTCACCTTTCCCTGGAAAGTGGTTTGGGTTTGGGGCGGAGAGCAACCATGGACAGAGGCGCTTGCCTGGTAGGAGATGAAGAGAAGTTCAGATCCAAGGAGCCGGCCTTTCTGTGCAGGGGCTCCAGCCCCATGGCCCCCTGCATCTCACTCTCAATGGGGCAGGACCCTGCCCTGCCATGCATGAACAGTGAAGACACATCCGGCCCCACTGCGCCTTGGAGAGAGACATCCACGGCCAGCTGGGGGTCCTGGGTTGGAGAGATGGAGGGAGGGGAGCGTGACTTCTTCTTGGTGGATGCCCCAGCCAGAAGTTTCAATAGTCCACTCTTCTTCTCTTTCTGGAGAGACACACAAGATGATCAAATGGGTTAATTCTCCTAAATAGCTTTACTCGCTGTGAAGGAGATAAAGTCTGATCCTACTTAGAAATTTTAAACATAATTCATAAAGTTTTCTAAAAAATAAAACTAACATTTTTTCCAATTATTATTTTCCTTCTTTCCCCCAAACCTGGCATAAATGTCTCAAATATATTCAAAGGCCCATTACATTCATCACAAGAAATAATGGGACCTGCCTGGATCTGCCCTGAAAAATCTTAGGACCTGCCTTAGTGGAATTGCATTAGGATATCTTTGCCCTGCTCCAGGCTCACCCTTATTTTCAGCTCTCATAGATAGTCCCAGGGCCCACTACAAATGGCATCCCACAGTTGCAATCCAACAGGGTCTCCATCCATGGCCTGGAACCAACTCTTTATGCTCCAGCAGAACACCTCTCCTTTGTCTCAGGCTGTGTAGACTCAATGGGATGGGGCAGTTAATTCACTCCAGGTGAGACTTTGCAGATGTCCTGAGGTGTTTGAACCAACGTTTATGTCTGCTCTTAGACCCATTCTAAGTTCTGTGAGCTTGTGAGTGACCTGCTTGTTCTCCCTGTGGTGATCATGTGGAAGCACCAAGGATATTGCCATTGTCATCTGGAGAATGACAAGTGTAATGAAAAATCATGCAGGGCTGGAGTTAGCACAATTCTATAAAAAGTCATTGGGCATGATTCCTACTGATGTAGCTCTCAGAATGCGGGCACCCACTCGTATATGGCAGGGCTACTGCACGCCCCGTCTACCGGTGATTGGGAACCTCCAAGATTCAATCTGGCACTTACTGTGATGCCATTCAGTGGTGCATGGTTGTATATAGTCATTTAGGCAAAGTCATAATCACTTTATGAAGTATGAGACAGTCTGTGTTAGTCCTCTCCTAACACTCAGAAACAGATGTGCTACAGTTTCCACAAGGAGCTAAGATACGGAATCAACCTAGGAGTCCAAGGCATAGGAATGGATTACGAAGATATGGCATATATACCCATGGGATACTGCTGCTGCAAGGGATGGTGAGGTAACGCATTTCTGCAAAATGGTTGGAGTGTGAAGATATGTTCAGTGAAGTCAGAAGAATAAAGACAAACACAGGATGATCTTACTTATATATGGTATACAGAATCACTGGACCCGGAACTGTGAGGCAGTCCCTTGGGGAGAGGCCTAGGTTATCCTTGACCCCAGAGTTTAGGAAGGAGAACAATAGAAGTAATGCGGGGAATAAAGGAGATAGAAAAGGGAGTAATGGGGAACAAGGGCTGGGGTTTTGGCTGCACCGATGACATGGGAGATAGTATAGCTACATAGCTGAAGCACAGACCAACAACACCAGAAACAAAATCGAAGCTGGAGAACATTCTTTAAGAGGAGCTGAAGTAATGCAACCTCCCAGGGTACCATACCACGGTTCAGACTGACTGGTCTTTCAGGGCTCTGGAGATAGACCCCAGCACAGAGCAGCTGTGGGGCTGTGCCTGGCTTCTCCTTTTCCCCCCTTAGACACTGTGAGATTATAAAGTTATTCATGATTGGGTTTCATGCACACAGTGTTTCAACACTGATCGAGTCACCAGTGTCCCCATTGCCTCTGCCTCTATGAGACACTTTTTCCCCATACGTTTTTGCATTGTGGTTGGTAGGGTTTCTCTTACAATAACCTTCCCACCTGTCAGCACCACCTCCTCGTCCTGCTGAATGTTTCCCTCCAACACAGGTGCTGCCCCTCTCTCCTTGTCACCCAGCCCCTCAGTAGCACATTACCTACTGAATATCAGTTCTCATATTCTTTGTTTCCCTTTTCTGTGGGTATTTGTTATGCCACCATTATGTTTCTTTATATCCCACAGAGAGAGATCATTTTGTGTCAGTCTCTTTCTTTCTGACGAACTTCACTCAGCATGATACTCTTCAGGCCCTTCTGTGTAGCAACATGTTCCATGATGATCTTTTCTTATGGTCAAGTAAAATTTCATTGTGTCTATGTACCATAGTTTCTTTATCCAGTCACTTATTCTTGGTCACTTGAATTGTTTCCAGACTTGGGCTATTGTGTCTAGTGCAGCAAGGAACATAGGAGTGCAATGGTCTTTTCTCTATCTGGTTTTGGGCCTTTGGGGTATATTCCAGGATGAGGATTTGCTGGGTCAAATGAAAGCTCAAGATATTTAGAAATGTGCTTGCCTCTTCTTTCAAGACGGTTTCCTGACTTAATACAATGGAAGCCAAAGATATGAGGTGGAGGTACACTGTGAATACATGAGGATGGGGTCTGATGGCTGGGGCCCTTCCTGAGATCTGCTCAGAGCCCCCATACCCGCACCCTGTTATAAATTCCTTCCAACATGCTCCTCACCCAGACTTCCCTGCGCATCTCACATTCCTCCTCTAGAAGACAGGTTACTTTCCATCCTCCCTCAGGTTCCTCTTTCAGTCAGGAGCACTGGGAGCAGGGATGTGTTTATTTGGGTCCCTGCAGTGTTGCCATGGTGACACATGGTGCTTAGAACACAGCAGCAGTCAGAGAGTGAAGTAAGCTTGGCCAGCATGGGCACTCTGTCTCCTCCCACCCACTCCCCCAGGGATTCCTCAGTAGAGAGCACATGAAACCAACAAATGGGTTCTGGGGGAAGCCCATATCCAGGGGGATTGGCACTGAGCAGGTGAACCCACTTGTTTTGAGCACATTTGCAGTCAAGTCCTGCAAATGTGGATGTTTGGAAAGGAGATAGAAAATTTCCCTACCTCATTCTCTGTAATTAAATATGATAGATCATTTCCTTATTTCGAGCTTGGCAAACACTGATATGAATAGAAAACTCTCTCCAATATGTTTCCTGTCCATAATAGAATTATGTTAATGCCCAAAGTGTCCATAATTACAAACTGCTGTGGGATTTTGCGGATGTGCACCACTGTGCATGGGGAATCCATGGTCTACAGTTGTGGCTGCTCGGAGCGACACCTCCTGCAAAGGCTGCCCTGCTCTGCAAGTGGGGAGACTGCTCATTAGCAAGCCTGGGGGGGCATCAGGAAAACACTTTGTGACCTATTTTAGGGGCCACCTGTGGAGAATATTTTGGAGGTTACATTTGACTGGTGTTCTAGCCTAAAAGTTTATTTTAAGGAAGGACAAAATTGTGGGGATATCTCTAGGGATAGAGACTAAATTAACAGTATTATGTGCCTTATGGGATGTGGAAAATCATGATCCTGTTTATGTTTGGTAGTCATGAGCCTCCTATATAGCTTTTATTGCCAGCATTTTGTGGCATTTGTCGTTGGTTCATTTTCTGTCTCCTGCAGAAGGACCACTTTCCACTTCCTTGGTCTTCTGCATGGCCATCACCAATATTTCTGCCTTGCCTGAGATAATCGGAACTCCTTACCTCAGGAGAATTGGGCAAGAGAGACATGTGTGCTCTGCAGAGAGGCTCACTCATCCTGTCAATAAGGTACAGGGTAAAGCCATCTGGGGATACAGTCCTGGATTCATGGAGCTGCCCCTACTCTCTATTCTTACTCAGTGCCCTTCCTGTCACTGTTATGGGCATGGAGACAGCCAGGGTTAGGGGCAGTGCTAAGAGTTTGCCTGCAGGAGTCGTGAGGATGACAAGCATGTTAAGGCTTGTTGAATGAATGCATCTAAGAATATTTTAGTATGTTTTGTAGGGGGTTTAGTTATCTGAAAAATTTTTCAGAATCCCTAGGATCTATATTGTTTCCCATATATTTTTGCTAAGTTACTGAAATTGACTTAACTGTCATAGGTAACTCTTGCCTTGCTTACAGAGAGTGTAAGGGCCCATGTGGACAGGGGACAGTCTTGGCTCTCAAACTCTGGATACAAAGATAGAACCAAAGAATTTGACAAAATGTAAAATTTGAGGGTCACCTTCAGCAGACCTGAAATAGGCATTTAAAATGTGATTATGATACAGAACTCAGGATATGATCAATAGAAGCCAATGATTATCTGTGATAAATCCTAAGTGATTTTAGAAAATTACAGTGATGTAAACTCAGAAGTAGCTGTCACAGGAGAGGGCAACCAAGTGAGCAAACTCACTATCACAGCTACATGGTCGGACTGGGAACACTCAGGGACCTTAAGGCTTGCATTCGAGGGTTGGCACAGGCCAGCCCGTTTCCCCTCCTCAGAGGGTCAGAGCTGCCTCCAGGCTCCAGGGGCATGTGTCCTCCTTGGCTACACATTTAGACACCAGGGCTAACGTGCGAGCAGAAACTCATCAGAAGAGCAAACAAGGCACAGGGAGAGACATGAGTCATTCTGCAGGCAGGAACAGACGCGAGTTCTCAGCTTTGGTTCCCAAGACACAGTCCTGAGCTCTGGCTCCCTAACGTCACTATTGATGCTTTGAAAGACTCTCCTCAAGAGATAAACACAGAGCTGAATGATAGAATAGCTCATCAGTGACATTAAGAAGAAACTCTAATGTGAGCCCATATAAACATGCATACCTCCAGACACCCTGAAATAAAACACATTCTACTCCAAAGAATCACAATCCAGAAATACCATATTAAAAAGAACTGTTAGAAGCTATTCATTTTATATAAATTTTATAGAAAACCCTGCAAAAAGCTTATTACTGATAAAGTGGTCATTTTCCATATTTCCAGATTTTACCATATAGTTCCTTTTGTTTATGACAATATTTAAAATGATTAGTGAGACACACTTGAAACTGGGCTAGATGAAGGCATGGTATGGATTTGTAAGTCAGGAAAACTTTAACCTGCAGCATCTGTCGAGATCCCCAGTCCAGAGTTTGGGGATGGCTGAGCAGGGCAGAAGCTGGCACATGGATGCAGGCATGCTCTTCAGTGTTGGCCAAGCAGTTCTACTCTGCCAGTTGCATAAGTGATACTGGGATAACTTGAGAGCCAGGATACAGAGGCCAGGGGATAGTTTCAGGTCATGTGTGGACAGTC